AAAATACCATTGGATTGGGGCAGAGTTAGGTGGGTCTGAGCTCAGACTCTCCTTGGGTGAAGCCTGCTGTGGCCACTGTGGGGTATGCGGGGTGGTTTTTGGGCCAGTGGGGTTATGTTCCAGAGGTGAATTGGCTGCCTCTGTTGCCAAGGAAGTTGGGGAAAGCCTGTGCAATAGGCCTCACCTAGCCTCCCACACAGTTGGCAAGGCCAATCTTGCTCCCACCATGCCCTGCTAACAGCGCCAGTGTCTCCAGGCAGCCAGTGCAGGGCAGTGGTTGGGGGTTGCAGGCAGATCAGACCTTGCCCCTGTTTTAAACTTTGCCACTGAGAAAGCAAGTATGGCTTTCAGGTCTCACCTGCCCCTTCCTGTCTTCCCACACTGTCAGCAGTGGCTTCTGTGCTCCTTTCTGTAGCATTTCCCATTCACCACCCAGTTCTGCTCAAAAGAGTTTGTGCCCAGTTGAAATTATTACAGAGTTCAGTTGGAAGCTTCTTTCACTCTGTGACCACTCCCAAATTCTGCCAGCCACCTTCCCCAAGGTTAGGGATGGCTTCCCTGGGCTCAAGCTGGAGAATGGGAGTGCCTCCAAGGCCCCTCGCACTGCTCCTTCTACTTTTATATTTTGTGCTAAATTTGTTCCAGTTCTAGGTAAGGTTAAATCCTTCTCCCATAATCTGGATTTTCAGGTTCCCCAATGGGGTATATGTTGAGAGGCAGGATTTCCCCCTCTCATACTTTGGAAACTCACAGTTTTTTACCTGTCTTGTGGAATTTGCAGTGGCATGCTGCTGCTTTTAAAGGATCTGTAAATTTTTTCGGTTTTCCTGTTATGTTCCTGCAGTGGCTCTTGGAGCAAAAGTCAACGGTCTCCATTCATTTCTCTGTCCATCCAAGCTGGGGCTGCATGTCAGCCCTGTCTCCTATCTGCCATCTTCCTCTCCACATCTATTGTGAGTTTTTTGAGGGAAGATGCATTATCTTATTGATCGTATTTTTATTCGCACCATGACATATGTTTCTGAGTTTATCCGATGTATGCCACCAAATAATAATCCACATGGAAGACATATATTTGTTTACAAAATAAAAAGACCTTTTTGCTGAATGCAGTGTCGGGATGGGACACCTCTTGAAAATTCTAAAACAAGTATTTTTAGGGGGAATTTTGGGAGGACTGTCAAAACTTGAAGTGCATTTACGCTTTGACCCAGAAATTTCAAAGGAAGGAACCTTTTTTAGTCTGTTTACTAACATCCTAATAATTTGTATAATGAAATATTAGTAAATACTATGCAGTTACAACACAACATAAGCTGAACTGGAAAATTATTGACATTTTGTTATATGAAAAAAGGAAGCTACTGAACAATCTATACCATATATTTTCATTTGTGTAAAGAATAAAACATACGCACATGCATGTATATGTGCAGATATTCACCAAATTGCTGGGAATGACCTCTCAGGCGGAGGCAGATTCCAGCAAATTGAGGGAGCAGAGGCAAAGACTGACCTTCATCTTTCTTTGTGTCCTTCTGAGGTGTTTGAATTATTTACAATTAGTATTACTTTTACAATTCTCATGCCCATTTAAAACAACTGAGGCTGGGCACAGTGGCTTATGCCTGTAATCCTGACACTTTGGGAGACCGAGGCAAGAGGATTGCGTGAGGCCAGGAGTCTGAGACCACCCTGGGCAACATAGAGAGACCCTGTCTCTACAAAATAAATAAGTAAATAAAACATCTGAAACACTAAAGATTTACCCTTAGCTCTCTTCCGTAACACCAACCTTTTCAAAAATATGCTACATCACAATTTTTTAAGAATGTCTTGAGCTCAGAACATGTCTATTCCATACCAACAAGTTAATCTTTTAAGTAGCACATTGTAGAATTAAAGCCTGAGTGGATTTTGTTATTCTAACTGTTTTATCAACATTTTCAGCGATGTCTTCAATGATCAGAAATCAAGAAAAGAGGATACAGAAAGTAAAAGACCAGGAAAAAATGTTACTAAAATGACTCGTTGCTTGCCTATTCTTTACAGAGGAATGAGGCCCAATTAATTGTGGTGTTACTTGTAATTAGTGCCCTGTGTACTTTTTCTTTTTATGTGAAAATTTAATAAAAGATACCCTGTCTTGTAAACTCTATTTTGAAATAAACTATTCTTGAATTCCTCATGGTAAAACTTCAAACATCTACTAGCTAGTATTTATACATTGTAACAATTAATACCTATAAAGTATTAATACATAATAAACTATTATAATTACCTTATAAGGTAATTTATCATAAGATATAATTTGTGCTTATTCAAATATATTGGAATAATTGTATTTTTTTATTGTTGTTACTGGTCCCAAGACAATAGAATCTATTTTATTTTATTTTATTTTATTCTACTTAAATTTTAATTTAATTTAAGTGTTTTATTCAATCTAATTTAGCTTTAAAAAATTGCTGGGGGAAAAACTACTTTCACATGAAAGTGAAAGATGTGGTGTAATACCAAGGACAGAGGACAAACTTCAGCATACTAACAGGGACTCATTTTGTGACTATGAACTCACTGTTCTGTCAATATCAGTGAGGGTAAACAGATAATCAAACATCAGGGCCCCCAGTCAAAACTTTTACAAAAGTTTCCCTTTTTTGCTTATTAATAATAGTAAAGAAAGAAAATGATTTTGTTACTCTTTAGCAAGTTGGTAACTTCTAGATTATATCTATTCAGTCTGCTTTAATTACATTTTAATAAATTAGGGGGGTTTATATGTGAACCAAATAAAATGAGAGAAGAACAGATACAAAAATGTATCCATTGTGTCAAAATATTAGGGACAATGTGGCAGATGGCTAGCTGTCCAAAACAAATCTTATATTCCTGTTGTATAATCTGGAATTGTCACTGAGAAACAGCTGCCCGGGAAGAGTCTCTGTTTCCCAATCCTGCCTCCCCTTGTATGTGGGTGTGGCCTGAGGGTTCTCATTAACAGAATGTGGACAGAGCAATATGTGGCACTTTCAGATCAAAGTATTAACATGCATGGGTGTTCTTCCTCACTTTATTTTCCCCTCCATGGGCTGGATGCAGAGGACAGGAGGGTTATAGGGGATGGTAGAGTCACAGGGCAGAAGGGAGTCTGGGTAACTGAATCTCTGCAAGGAGGGGAGCTGCCGTCCTGCCAGGAAGACTCACTGCTGACAGTTACATGAGCAAGAAATCGGCCTCTGGTGCTGTAGCCTTCTTAAATGGATGGTGTCTGTTACAGCAGCTAGCAGCAGCCCCAACCTATGCAGACAACAAATGGAGTAGGGCATACATGCTGTCACCAGAAGATCCTCACGCTTCTGCTCTCAAGGGCAATGTTAGAACTGTAAGCACATCCAATTTTAAGTGAATTTTTAAAATATAAAGTGTAATATTTATCTCTTAGATCAGTTGGCTTTACTGAAAAATTAATTATAATGTTACCAGGTAGTGATAAAATAGCCAGTAATAGAATTCTAGAGAGACTTTTACTTAAATTGTTTTACCTCTAATTTTCCTCATGGGCATGTTTGGGCATTCCACGCAGTAATGGTGAATGCCTTCTGCAGAGCTTATTAGTGCAGTATAAAATTCATTCTGAAGTCTGTAAACAGTACACATGAATTTAACATAAAAGTACCATGAGCCAAAAACTGTTAAACATAGTTCTTTTAAGCCCTTTCTTATGCTATTTTCAGTTGGATTTATTCTTTTCAGCAAAGACCATCTTTTTAACAGGATTAAACATTATTTCACTGATAGATGTTAAACTTATTAAAAGTTATTTTAACATGTAAGAATTCATTTTCAAGTACAGGCATGCTGAATTTCCCTCCAGTCAAAGGAGAACTTTGAAAATAAATATTGTAAACTTTTTCTCCAAAGGGAGGAGAAAAACAGAATCTTCATGTCTTCTGTACCTTTTGATATTTGCTTTTCTGTATGTGTCTGTTATTAGTGAAGGAAAATATTTGTATTTTATTTTACATCTAGGCTATTATGATAGTAAAATTTAGACAAATAGTTCAGACATCGAATGAAGATATTAAAATTCAGGTTTTATTATTTGTTCAGTTATAATAACTTAAAGTTTAAATATTTGCTGTCTTCTCAGGGCAAAGATGTACTTCTGTACCACTGTCCTGTATAAATGTGTTACCCAAGATAGTGAGTGCTATGAAAGGAGAGGGAAGAGGGTGACAGATGGAAATGATTGCTGTAGGACAGTCCATCTATCCAGATGGAGGAGGGGAGGGGAAGAGAAGTGGAAGAGAGATGGTCCTACAGATGTTCCCATGGGCAAATGATGGGTGTGTCTGTCCCTGCAGTCGGGCTGTGCCTGTACTTCACAGTCCTCTAAGAGGTGTCATTCAGGCTACCTCACTCAGCCTACCCCCACCCCCACTCATGTTCCCTTTCCTCATGGGCTGCCCCCGCGACTGACTTCCATGACGACTGGTTCTCATTAGGCCCCTTGTTTCTACACCAGCCTTAGATCATTAAGACAAAGACATACTTGCTACCCTCATAGCACATAACCACACCTGGCAGATGAAAATCAAACAAAAAGCATTAGGCAGTCTTAGAGCATTATCTTGTACCCTTACTAATCACATCCAGACCAGATATTTTCTAATCACAGTTTTGTATCATGTTAACTTTTTAAGCATAAAATGTGTATGTAGTAAAAAGTGCTTCTCAAGCTGTTCCAATAGGAAGTCAGCTATGTTTGAGTGAGGCTTATTTTGCTACCATGGTTTAAAGATCACGTAAAGGCTCAAGCTTAAACCCTGGGCAGCTGGTTAATTTTTTTGCCCCATGACCACAGTTCACACCTGAAGCTTAGCCAAGTCACTCCCCAAGAGAATCAAGCCCTAAAGTAATAATGGATCAGCACAAGTCTGTCAGTCCGTGCCACAGGGAAGAGAAGTTCACACTCACTGGAAGCATTATACACACACACACATATATATTTCTGCACATTAGACAAAGGCCACTAGCAAATTTGAAACAATTCGGATGGCTGAATTTGGAGTCACACTGCCTTTATTTTATTCAGTGTGTTCCACAACCTCAGCCTCTTCCACATTGTTCTACAGCTTCTCCAATCCTTTGCAAACTGAATCAGTGAATCCCCCACCATGCGTGAACCACTTTATCCTCATGGCCAGTTTCTAGGAATCTATTGCTGCATTCTTCCCAGCGGGTAACTCCCCCATTCTCTACCAACACAAACTTCCACTCCACCACTGTATCTGCAGGCAGGAAAATGGAATGAGACCAGAACCCATCCTTGTTATAGTGGAGTGGGATGTAAGTGTTCCATCTCCCAAGATACTCATGGTCTCCAGTTACTGCAATGAATTGCACATCAGTGCTTGTGACATAATGGACCTGGAACCTGACACTAACTTGCTGAGACCCTGCAGGCATCACTGCTACCCTTTCTGTTTTCCCATGCACTTGCTGATCTCTTGCTTCCACCAGAGTGCTTCTTCCATTGTCCATTCCCTGGTTTAGGCTTAACACTGGAGCCTTAAGACTGCCACCCACACCAACATCCCCCCAAGATGAGTGCCTAGACACCATTTCCCACTCCTTGTGGTCAACCCGGTCCTGACTGTTCAAATGAGAGAGGCTCGCTTCTTCTTTAGCTCTGTTCATAAACAGGTTGCTAGAAGGCAACTTCTCTGCAAAACATGTAGCTGCTTTAGCAGATATCTCTTGTCCTTTTTGGAATCCCCATTCTCCCATAGGAGATTTGAGGCTTTCATTTCTTAAAACTTCAGAGTAACTCCTAGAGTTACTGGTCTCAGAGGTAGCTGAAGCTTCTGTGTCTGGAAACTGTCCAGAAGAAACATGTTCTCTTGAATTATCACAGACTTCCCTGGAAGGATTCTGCAATCTCCATGATGCTGCTTGCAGGTTACCAAGGTCTTTGGTCTTAGAAATCGAATGTCCATTGCTTTCTTGAAGATGCTCTAAGAAATCAAAGGAAAAATGTAATAGAGTCAGGTAGTTCATTTAAGAAAAAAGTTAGGCTGAGAAAATAGATTTAGTTACTGAAAGCTTTACTACTAATCAATCTGCAATTCACAAAGTCCCCCTCTATTAAAATAAAGTACTACTTAATTAACCAGTATGCTCCCAACACTGTGCTCTAAGAATACACATGTATATCTGACAATAAAAGGGACATCCAGGAGTATCAGTGTGCTAACACAAGTGTAAATGAAGTGGTAAGCTGTAGAGGCAGACATATAACCCCGTCACAGTCCCCGGTCTCCACAGTCCAGGCCATACTGGCATGCAGCCAAGTTAAGTTGCTTGGCTCCTATCATCAAAGAATGTTGTCCAGGCTGTGGGGCAAAGGGCTGCGTGGCTACCTTACAAACCAGAAGAGTACACTTGTACTCCCAAGGGAGGCGTGCAGGGCAGGGATTGGCTCTTGCAGATCTGCGGGCAGATCAGCAGGAGCCATCGCTGTGGGGAGATACAAAGAACAGTAGTGCATCCCTGGGCAGGAGTGGAGGGAGAACTGAGGGAAGGGGCTGGTTTCTCCTTGCCAATCCCAAATGCATTAGGAACCTCCTCAACAAAACAGTGTTTTGTACCCCCTTCCATTGTAAGCACTTTTTAAAAAATGTTCTTAAAAATACAAAATCCAAGTCCTCTAAAAATGCAGTTTCCTTCTTAGCCACGCCAGTGGTAGTCCAAATAGCTCCCTACAAGATTGAAATCTCCAAATCATACATAAAATCATCACAGCTGTGGTTTTATGTGGGGGGGGTGGTATGGGGACAACAGTCTTGTTTCATTGTATCCTTTTTTTTTTTTTTTTTTTTTTTTTTGAGATGGAGTCTCGCTCTGTCGCCCAGGCTGGAGTATAGTGGTGGGATCTCGGCTCACTGTAACCTCTGCCTCCCGGGTTCAAGCGATTCTCCTGCCTTAACCTCTCAAGTAGCTGGGACTACCAGTGCCTGCCACCACGCACGGCTAATTTTTGTATTTTTAGTAGAGACAGGGTTTCACCATATTGGCCAGGCTGGTCTCGAACTCCTTGTGACTTGCCCGCCTTGGTGATAGTGAGTTGGAAGTGAGAATGAACAAATATTATTCTGGATTCCCAACTTTTCAACCTAAAGCATGAGATTGGTCTTCAGAAAAAAAGATAAGTGAACTGTCTAGGCATCCCAGACCAATCACAGTAAAGGCACACGGGCAGATTTTCATGTGGCTGCACATGAACACCACTGGGCTAAAAATAAAGTTCACAGATGTCATTTTCACCATTAGGCTTCTGTCCAGGCATGGGCAGCTTGCCAAGGGAAGGCACTGGACGGTAATGTTTTCTGCCAGTGTTCGCTCTCTGTTTAGCAAACGGTGCCTAACATACAGAAATTTAAACCCAGATGTCAATTCTACTCATCAAGGTTGGGTCCCCTATTTAAGTAGTCCCTAGGGATGACCGTCGGGCCCTACTCTGGGGCAGCGTCGGGAGGACTGCCCACAGTGCTGAAACGGGCGACTAAGGCACAGCCCCAGGGCCTCAGCCACAGCCTTCATGGCCAGAGTCCAACCTGAACTTTGCATTCCTAAAGAAGCGTCCAGATAGCAGGAGGCGCCCGCAGCTGGGTTGTTCCCAAACCCAGCTCTTCATGGGCTGTGCGATGGTAGGATGTGAGACTACCAGGATTGGGACTGAGAAAATGTCCCTGCTTGGGCAGAGATCGAAGAGGCTTGTAGGATCCCCTAAATCTAAGCCCTCCTTTCCAAAGGCCGGGAAGGGGCGCCGCCACTGCAGCCACCCGCACTGCACCAAGCGCCGCCAAGCGGAGGAGCTCATCCCCGCCGGAGGGGCAGGACCAAGTCCTCAGGCGCGGGCGCTGAGGGACTCGGCAAGGGCGCGGCCCTTGGTGGACCAGCCAAGAAATCTGCCCGCGCGTACCAACCAGCCTGGGAAACCGAGGGGCGTGGGGACGGCCCAGTTCCCTTAGGGAAGCCCGTCCTCAGGAGGAAAGCTCCAGGTGGGTTTGTCTCTTTCCTCCCTTCCTCGATTAACCTCAAAGCTCTGGCAGATGTGCCCAGGAGTCACGGGGGGAAGAATACCTGGTTTGGTGACCAGCTCCTGCCCGGAAGGTCCGGGGCTCAGTCCGCCGCTGCCACTCTGATGGCCTCCCGGAACCGCAGCTGCCCCAAGAGGGGCGTCCTTCTCTTGCTTCGCGTCCCCGTCCTTCCCGGTGTCTCCAGGGTCGCCCCGCAGCAACCAAACGAAAAGTGCTCCGGCCAGACCCCCTCCAACCAGCAGGGCGGACCAGACGGCGCCCATGGCTGAGAGGCTGCGGCCGCGGGAGACGACAGAGACTGGGACCGGGGCTCAGGTCACGCAGGCAGAGCCACACCTACCCCGCCCGGTCCAGCCTTTTACGGTTTCTGCGCCGTGCGCTCCGGCGGAGCCCGGCCCTGAGCGACCAGTACTCAACTTTCCCAGCCCCGCCCCGCTCCCCGCCCCTGGGCTGCGGCCCCGGGCTCCCTCCCGGGGAAGACTCCAGCGCTCTTCTGTCCCTACACTTTCTGTTCCCGGCCCTGCCAGTTGCCAGCGGCCGGGGCGCAGGGGTCGGCCTTCCACGTGTGTCCCGCGTGAAGAACCCAAGTGCGCACAACTGCCGCGCTCAGCCGGGACCTGCCCCACCGCCCTTCCTTCTCCCGCCTGCTGCCCGCGAGGCCTAGCCCTACCTCGGCCAGCGCCGGGCACCTCGGCGCCTCCTCCCCAGGGAAGCTCAGCAGCAATCGGTCAGCTAGAGGTCGAGAGCTTCCTGGAACTTAGAGGTGGGAGAGGCTGCGGGCGTCGGTGACGCGCGGGCTGGAGCGCGGGCTAGAGCTGTGGCGCGGTCGGGTGGGACGGTTGGCCCGGAGGACAGCGGGCGCGGTGCAGGGAAACTGGGAGCCCTAGTGGAAGCTCCGCTTCGCCGCCAGCTCAACGCGCTTAGCCTCCCCAAGCCTCCGCCTCCCCGCCTGTAAAATGAAAGGATTGGACTAAGGACCATCCATCTAAAGATGCCAGTCAGCTCAACCTCATCCAGTCTCGTCCTCTTTGGGCGTGTATGGCTACTGTGAAATGCGCGCCCATCTGTGTGAACTGGATGTTGTCCATGGACGAGCTCCTACAGATAAGTTTGTTAATAAAAACAGCAGCTCTCTATTAAGCACTGTCTGTATTCCAGATGTTTTATGTGTGTATTTAATCCTCACAAGACAACAACCCTGTGGGTGTTACATACATTTCTTTGTAAATTCATTCCTCTGCTGATCTGATGACTTTGCACAACAGCTTCAAGCTGATGGTCCCCACGTCTGTGTCTGCAGCTCCATCTTTCCCTTGGACTCTGACATTCAACTGCTAAAGGTCACAGATGCCAAACACCTGCCTTGGAGTAATTACTATAATTGCTCTCTCTGGTAGGACAAATTATCAAATGTGCCCCTTGCTCCGAATGGACAGTAGCCCTTAACGGGGTGCAAGGTTCTGCCAGTTGGGTTACTGGAGGGCTGATGCACACCTTGATGCGGCCACAACTTCTGTAATCGTAAGAGAGCAGGTAGAGGAGAGGTAAGGGTGAAGACTGCCTACTGGGCATCTCCTTGTGGATGTCTAATAGACATCTCAAGCCCAACTCATCCAGACCTGAACTCCCCAACTAACTCCCCAAACCTACTACTCTCCCTACTTTCCCCATCTCAGGAAGTGGCAACTACATCCTTCCCGTTGCTGCAAAACAAAACACAGCAAGCTCCTACAGGCCACTTTCAAACCACCAGTCAGCGTGATCCTGTTAAAACACCCCAGTTCTCTGCTCAAGACCCTCCAGTTGCTCCAGATCACACAGAAAAACCTTTAAGACCCCGCAGGATCTGTTCTCCATGACCACTGTGCGCTCACCTCCATCTTGCCACCTCCAGCCACACTGGCTTCCTTGCCTGGAGTCATCCTTCCTGCAGACATCCTCTCTCTCTCATACCCTTCAGGTCTTGGCACAAGTGTTATCTGTGCCCCCACTGCCCCCTCCCCCGCCCAGCCCTTCCTTGACAATCCCAGTTTTAATTATAGTCCTACTCCCTATATCCTTCCCTTGCTCCATTGTTCTCATTAGCACTTAGGGTATCATTTCTAATACACTCTATAATCCGCATGTCTGTGGTTTAATTTCTCTTTCCTCCCTTTAGAGTGTAAATGACAGCAGGGATTATTGTCCTTTGTTCTCTGCTAACTTCTTAGCACCTGTAACCTTTCCAGAGTGAGCGCTTAGAAGTACAGGTTGAATGAATGAATTAAAAGCCCCACATACTTTCACTCTAGAGCATTATTGGCATTTTCCTTACATAGATTCCATATGCATTTTTAGTCCACGTGGATATTACCTTTCCTGGAAATTCATTTTATGTATAATAAAAAGTGACCAGGCCGGGCAGGGTTGCTCAAGCCTGTAATCCCAGCACTTTGGGAGGCCGAGACAGGTGGATCACGAGGTCAGGAAATCGAGACCATCCTGGCTAACACGGTGAAACCCCGTCTCTACTAAAAAAATACAAAAAACTAGCCGGGCGAGGTGGCGGGCGCCTGTAGTCCCAGCTACTCGGGAGGCTGAGGCAGGAGAATGGCGTAAACCCGGGAGGCGGAGCTTGCAGTGAGCTGAGATCCGGCCACTGCACTCCAGCCTGGGCGACAGAGCGAGACTCCGTCTCAAAAAAAAAGAAAAAAAAAAAAGTGACCATAAAGCTGTATTTTTAAGAGAATGAATGTCACTGTATAAAATAAGATTCTTCCAGCCTGGGCAGCATAGCAAAACCCTGTCTCTATGGAAAAATACAAAAATGAGCTGAGCAAGGCGGTGGCGCTTGTAGTCCCAGCTACTCAGGAGGCTGAGGATCACTTAAGCATGGGAGGTGGAGGCTGCAGTGAGCCGTGATCATGCCACTGCACTCCAGCCTGGATGACAGAGGGAGACCGTCTTAAAAAATCTGATAAAAATAAAAGATCCCTCGCATGCGCAGTTCACATGGGGTTTGTGCTCCTATGAGAATCTAATGCCGCTACTGATCTGATAGGAGGTGCAGCTCAGGCAGTAATGCTCGCTTGCCCACCACTCACCTCCTACTGTGCAGCCTGCTTCCTAACAGGCCTCGGACCAAGGTTTGGGGACTCCTGTCTAAGGGATAAAATCCCGGAGAATCTGTAAAATCCTTCAGATGTGAGCCCCGCTATTCACTTATAATACCTAAAAGGTTCTTAATATTTATTATTGTCACCAATTTCTATTCATTTATTTAAAATAATACCAAAAATTATTTTCTCAACCCATCAGAATAATTTTTGCATTGTATCATATTGATCATGCAACATTTTTATTTTTTTATTTACTTTTTTCTTTGGGAATCCCAAGAAGTAAATGCAACAGTTTTAAAGAACATTATTTGGCCTTCCTTTTGGCTTTTCCAAACTTAAGTGTTGGCTCGTTGATTTCTGTGTTGCTGCTCTTTTAAAAAATGCTCCAATCATAGTCATATGTTTATATTAAAGGTTCATAGCCACATATCCTAAAAACATTCTTGCCGCACTGATGGTACCCATGCTTATCACTATACAATTGCAGAATAATCATGTTTGCCTCCATAGAGAAAACTGTGAGTGCCTAGGAAGATAGTGTTGTCAGGGAGCAAAAAAGCTAGCACATTTGTGCAGACAAAGGAGGAAGATGATGAGTTCTGCTGGGATGTGTTAAATTGGAGGCACGAGCAGGAAGTTGAAACTGGGTTTCTTTCGTTTAAGAAGAGGATTAAGGCTGGAGATATTGGAAATTCTGCATAGAGAAGTGGTAATTAAATCCATAGTAAAGATTAATGTTATAAAGAGAAATGAAGGATGGATGAGCCCTTGGCACAATTGCAAGAAGAAAGATTGGTAAGTTGCCTCCGTGTTGCTACTTATATGGCAATTCTGTCTTGAGATTATATTTTATTGGCCATAATGTAGAACCCATTTGCTAATTGATATTATCCTATTTAATAAAGTATGAATAGATATAGATGGATATTTTAAAGTTTATTTTATTATATATTTTTTCCTTTAAACTTATGCCAGAAAAGATTGCTCAATCCTGGCTTAGGGGGATGAGGACAGAACAATGAAAAGCAACTCTGTTTGCAAAGTCAAAGAGACTAAAGACTGTGGGAAGGAAGAACCAGAGAAGAGGGAGAACGAAAATCAGATAAGGAAAGCAGATCAAGAAGGTGGCGGGGAGGGGGAATGGAGGCATTGCTTAGCGAAACTTAAGTGGATAGAGAACTGAAGGGAAAATGGTTGCATTTGGCACATAAGAAGCCATCAGTAGCTCTGCAGTGTTTGTGGCGGTGAGAGTTGGATTTCCGAATGCTAAGGTATAAATGTTGTGAAAAGATAAGAAGTCCTGAATTGAGTTATCTCTCTCTTGAGAAATGTGGAGGCAAAAGGTCGGAGAGAAACAGAAGGGTTGCTTAAGAATAGAACAGGATACCCAGCGCTTTGGGAGGCTGAGGTGGGAGGATCTCTCAAGGCCAGGAGTTCGAGACCAACCTGGGCAACAGAGGGAGACCCCCCCCACCAGCCTAAAAAAAAAATAGACCAGGACTCAGGGCAGTTCCTATAAACCAAGAGAGACTTAAGCACGAGTGGAAACAGGAAAGAGCCAGTGGAGACTGAGCTTGAAGACATGAGAAGCAGAGGAAATATTTTTTTTCATGGGACTTTCATAAGGCACAAGAGGGAGATGGGTCAGGAATGCCAGTGGAAGAACTGGCCTTGGAGGAAGGAAAGAGAGGAGAAGGGCATGAAAAAAGTAAAGAATGAAAATCAGGGACATTTTGTGCTATAAAGGAAGTAGTCAGTGAGGTTATCAGCTGAGTGTGAGAAAGGAAATCTGGCTGGAGTTTTAAGAAAAGCAGAGAAAGTAGATAATGCACTGGGAGAAGCCATGGCCAGTACAAGAGCTGTCTCTGCTGGAGTCCTGTTGCCTCTCCACAGTGGGTTATAATAAGAAAGAGATTTGGTCTTGTCCTTTTGTTGCTGGCACAGAAAACCTAGAACCCTTGGGATTTGTTATTCCTAATGGGACGGTTTCAATCACACCAGGTTTTCCCTATGGTATCAGTATTTTTGAGGTTTGTCTCATCCCCACTTTAGATTATAAATCCCTTGCTGGTCACAACTTGGCCATCTTTGTATTCCCTGGAATGTCAAGTCTATCATCTAACAGGCCTTCTTTTTATTGTTTTTGTTCATTGAATAACTAAAATATGCCGGCACCAGGCTAAGTGCTTTATAAAGATTATCTCATCCTTATAAATGGAATGCTTGGAGGGAAGTAATCTGTCCAAGGTCATACAGTTAATAAGTGACCAAGCTGGGGTTTTGAACCTGCTGTTCTGACCCCCAGGACCCATGCTCTGAAACCCTAGCTGCACTGAAATCTGAGGATTCTTAAACTATGTTCAAATTTCAAAGCATAGGTTTTAGAAGTGAGTGTGCCAATTTGGATATGTGACACTAGAGAACCCTTATGGGAGTGTTTCAGTGTTTGTGGTGACTTTCAGACTTGTTCTTGGTCAGTAATAACTCTCTGCAACCCCTCTCTCCATTAGGGGAATGCACTTATCACCCTCAGCACCTGTCCATTGCTGTCAGACCTCTGGCTCCTGGGGAACCACATAACATTAACCACAAGTACAACCTCTCTGCAAAGCAGTCACATTGGAGCTGCCCAGTTTCAGGTTTCACAGAGACATTTTCTAACTGAAACTGTCTGCAAACCTCTGACTCATCTTAGTTCCAGAATAGACTCAAGGCTGACATCAGTCATGCTAAGTCATGAATACTTTAGAAAAGGAGATCTGTGTTAGGCAACTAGCTCACTATCTACAGAAAAATAAAGCTGGATTACTACTTTGTACCACATAAATGATGAACTCCAGATGAAATAAAGTCCTAAATGTAAATGGTAAAACTATGAATAGAACAAAATCCAGGAAACTGGCAATGTGACATTGCCTAACATAGGAGGCCACAAAAACTTTTTTGACTTCATTAAAATGATGCTACCTGGTCAATGAAGGGTGCCATAAACAGTTATCAGATAGAGCCAAACTGGGGGAAGATATTTGTGTTGTCT